ATACTTTTATTTTACTTTTATATTTATAGAAATTATTATTTTTATTACCATTATTATCTCTATGACTCACTTCTCAAGTTATATTTACGTTCAAAACTTATTTCAAGTTTACTAGTAAAATAGAACAGGTTTTTAGAATGCGTTTGAGAAACTTCTCTAAATTTAGTATATAACAATTTTTTTAGCTATTGAAATATAGAACGATGTAATTTTTTTTTTATTCGCAAAGTAATTTTAGGTAAAAAACTAAATTTCTTTTTAATTACATAAATAATTAACTGATATGTAGGATTTATTTGAAACTTAGTAACTGTACCCAATTTTTAATGTCAGCCACTAAGTGCCATAATATAAATACAGAATACTTAAAAAATTTGCAACATAAATCTTTAACATTAAAATACTTTGTGTAATACCACAACCAGACCGTGTAAAGCCAATTATAGTTATTTTTTAGAGTGCTTTGGAAATCAACTAAATATCTCGATAACTATCAATTTGTCAACATCCAGGTTTTGTTCAGTTTTTCAGCGTCTTTATATTGGCATCTTTATAGAAATTGTTAGGACTGCTACTTAACTCTTGCAAAAGTTATTCCATATCAAAAAAGAAAGCGTTTCTTACCGTACTGAACAATTTTACGATCAACTAATAAACCAATTTGACCTCTGTAACTACCGTTCAATTTATTTTTTTTTAATTGCACAACTTTTGTGTTGGAGTTAAGTCAATTGCGAATATAGTTACGCAAATATTTTTAAAAAGGGAAAACAAAAAACGTTTTTACCTTGTACTAGCGGTCATTTTGTTACTTTTGCTGGGAAAGCCTCAGATTTAATTTTAATGTAATCTTTTGACCACTGATTCTTGTTCTGCAAACTGCTGATGATTATAAATTAGAACCTGAATTTTTTTATTAAGTTGGTGTATTTTTATTATTTTTTCATTTATTTATTGTGTTATTTCTTTATTTGTCTCTTTTTAAAATTATCATTCTTATTTTTAATGTAAAACTTGACTTAAATTATCTTTTTATTTAAATCTTTAGAAAGTCTTCAAATTTTATCGTAAAACAGGATGTGCTGTGATTCTTATTTAGAAATCGTTGAAAACATAGTGGCATCTGTTTTGTCGAACAATTTTGGATACCAGAGGAATATCGATTAATATTCATATTAAAATTTATGTGCTACTGATGATTACCTACTCTACAGAAGAAAAATTTCTGCTATTTTTTTAGGTATCGGCTTTACTAGGTCGTATTCCATCAGCTGTAGGTTATCAGCCAACCTTGGCCACTGACATGGGTACTATGCAAGAAAGAATTACGACAACAAAGAAAGGATCCATCACTTCAGTGCAGGCCATCTACGTGCCGGCCGATGATTTGACAGATCCAGCTCCTGCCACCACTTTTGCTCACTTAGACGCTACCACCGTCTTGTCTCGTGCTATTGCTGAACTTGGTAAGCCGAAAAACAAATTCTTAGCCTACTAGAAATAGTGCTCCTCTTTAGTATGTGCCACTTTTTTCAGGTATCTATCCAGCTGTTGATCCTCTCGACTCTACCTCCCGTATTATGGATCCTAATATCATTGGCACTGAGCATTACAACATAGCTCGTGGTGTACAAAAAATACTGCAGGACTATAAGTCGCTTCAGGATATTATTGCCATTTTAGGTATGGATGAATTGTCTGAAGAAGACAAACTCACTGTCGCACGTGCTCGTAAAATTCAGAGGTTCTTGTCCCAGCCATTCCAAGTGCGTTATTTTAAATTTGATTGAACGATAATTATGCTTTAATTCTGCATGCATAACCATCTAAATAACTTATGAATATTTTAGGTTGCTGAGGTATTCACTGGTCACGCTGGAAAACTTGTACCTCTTCCAGAAACTATTAAAGGATTTCAGAAGATCCTAGGGGGGGAGCTGGATCATTTGCCTGAAGTGGCTTTCTACATGGTTGGTCCGATAGAAGAAGTTGTAACTAAGGCTGAATCCTTAGCCAAGTCATAAAATTAAAATACTGTGAATGTAAGCTTTTATCAGGAATTAGTTTTTGTAATTTAATTCATTCTTTTATTAAATATATCATCCATTTTTCATAGCATTGAAAACTGCTAAAATGTATGTCCATAGATACTTGATTTATTACATAAAAAGTCTGAAAAATGGATTCATAAATACAAAAAATTAAAAAAAGATACAGTAAACTATCAATTGTTATTAATGACTAGAACTAGATTTTTTTGTTATCAGTCAATGAAGTATTAGTAAGAAATCATCCTATCTTATAGTTGATCCCCACTGTATAAGCATCCAAAACATTGTGAATTATCAGTTTTGTCAGAATTATGTAATCTGCAAAACGGTATCGTATCTTGATTAAAAATGTCTAATAAAACTTTTTTTAAAACACAAATGGAATTCTTAGTAAGATTAAAGTACCTATTCGTAAAACATGTCTCTATTCATAAAATATAAAAATTAACATTCTTATGAAACAATGCGGTATATAAAAAAACTAGCAGGCTCATCTTAGCTTTGCCCGAGATTCTGCGAGATTCACTGAGTGGAGCTTCTTAGTGTGTTGACACGTAATATCAAACGTTCTTCAGTTTAAAATTTTGCATCTATTCTCAGTACTTCTGAGTATAAAAAAATTCGTATGAAATAAAGTTTTTTAAGAATAGATGCAGTTTTAGTGGAAAAATAAACTATAAAAAAAACAAAATCATATATAATGATGCTGAAAATTATCGTGCGTTTCTTACGCCATGCTATAATTGTTGGCCCTAGGGCCGTCGATTTGCACTTTCTCAGGTTATAATATATGAAAAAAGCTACTTTTAAAACACGTATTGGTTAAAAACTGATAAAACATGTGTAATTAAAAATTTTTTCAATCAAAATACTTTACCACCAGAGCAACAAAGTCCGGGTGCCTCATCTCTTGCCACAATTAATGTAAATACATACTATTCTACCTATTTGAATAGCCGGAAGAATTAAATTACCAATGTCAGGTTTATAACAAAAAGCTGATGTGTCTGATGACTAAATGCACGGAAAAAACTTTTGAACGTACAGAGCCCAGTTACGCAGGCTAGAGAAGTTCAAATCGCTTTGAACTCCTACTGCACAAGTGTACAGGCCGCCTTGACTCGAAGATCGAGTCACACGAGTTCAAAACAGCGTTCAACTGAGACTGCACAACCATGCGCGCCGCGTAGCCTGTAGTTTGGGCTTGTACAGTACGGCATAGCATTGAACTGCAGAAGCTCGAGGGGGGGGGGGCTACGTAAGCCCGACGGTTGTGTATACTGGAAAAAATTGTGTTACTCATTTTTAAAATGACCATTCTTAGTTTGTACGGTCAAAATGTAATAGTTAACCCTAAACATTTTATACTAAATGAGTTACATAAAGGTTAAATAAGTTTCATGAAATTATTCAGAGGCATGTATGTATATAAAATATAAGTTTTAACTTATTTACCTGTTCGCGTTCTGTATAATGAACGACTGCATTCATTGAAGCCCAAATGTTGTCTGCTGATAGCTCAAAATTCGGTGAGAGAGAGCTCGGAGAAGCACTGAGCTCGCTGAGCCTGGACATTGTGCTGTGAGAGCACAACCGTCGGGCTTACGTAGCCCCCCCCCCCCCTCTCGAGCTTCTGCAGTTCAATGCTATGCCGTACTGTACAAGCCCAAACTACAGGCTACGCGGCGCGCATGGTTGTGCAGTCTCAGTTGAACGCTGTTTTGAACTCGTGTGACTCGATCTTCGAGTCAAGGCGGCTTGTACACTTGTGCAGTAGGAGTTCAAAGCGATTTGAACTTCTCTAGCCTGCGTAACTGGGGTCTGTACGTTCAAAAGTTTTTTCCGTGTAGATAATTTATTCGTCGATGTTTACCTTGCTGTTCCAATCTCTATGATGCTTTTTGACGCCGAAAATTGTACACATTTAACTCGTTATAAATAGAAGTTATAGTAACTTCGATAGACGCGTTGAAATGTCCTTGACAGCCTTGCGTTCTACTTCATTATTTAAAACTCTTCTATTTAATTTAGCCTCATCAATATTCTCGTGATTATGTGGTGTAGCTTCTTGCACGAGTTCATTATGTGAACCGAGTTTCAAAATACTCGAGCAACTTTTAACTGTGCATTTCCAACGTTGAATATAGTTCTTCAAAAGCTTATAGAATTCAAAAGTATTACTTGATATGCAAATTATAGGTTTACCTTTTTCACTTTTGCAGAATTCCATCGTACAATACTACATAATTAGAAAATCGAGTGATGTATTGGCTTCGCTAAGCTGTACAGTCGTACATGCCTTCATAAGGCTGACGACACGATGACCCGTCATTGCCTCGTCAGCTTACAAGCATATATACATATTCGCGGCGTGCACGCTTATGCGCCGCCGCCATCTTAAGTCGTTACACTCGCGTGCCTGCGTGCATGACTGAGCTAGTCTGTTGAGACACCTCAATGCGCGCGGAGCTCCGTTGCCTCAAATCTAAATCATACTCAATTCACCCTGACACGGCAATACCTAAATCGTATTCAATTCGCCCTGACACGGCAATAATATCTCTCTGGGCCTTTACCGGCGTTTCTCGCGAGTGCACTCGTCGACATAGTGTTAGTGTAGTCAATTTGTTGTGTATCCGATAGCGTATTAAACCCGAACAGCTGTAACTCGCGGCTCTCGTGCGTGCGTGCGTGTTTTAATTCGTAGTCGAGTCAAGTGCACGTAAATTTAGTTGTGTTCTTCAATAAAAGGGGTTTTTTTTTACCGCAAGGTTTTTTCCCCTCAAAAAAACGCAGTGTCTTTATTTGTTTTCCCTTTCCTTATTTTTCAACAAAGCGAGCGAGTCACCTGCGACTCTCTCGCCACGAAACATTTTGGTGCCGAAACCCGGGAGTGATCCTTGTACGCACGTGCGCGCTCGAGCTGCGATTTCTTATCGCTCTCTCTTTCGCGGACGAAATCGCGCGCGTACACGCAGTCGCCGTGCACGACGAGAGTCGCCCGCGTGGGTGCAGCATATCCCGCTGGCCACGCGAGGATTATCATCACCGTCAACATCATCGACGCCGCCGTTCCCGCGCCCGGACACACCACCGCCCAGCTGCCGCTCGTCGCACACAGTCAGATAAGTGAATTTGCTATTTCTGTTTCCTTTGTCTCCTGCACATGCGTTTCAGCAGAGGACACTTACGTTAATTGTTTCTGTCCTTCTCTCTCTTTCTCTCTCTCTCTCGTTCTCCCTTGCGTGAATTGCGTAGAGTTGCGTGTTGATTGTTGGTGTTCCCGGCACGGCGCACTGTGTGCCGAACCTGGCCGGCCGGTGCCTCGTGTTTGAGCCCTCCTCCTATCTGTACCTTTTTCCATGTAATGTGGTGAGCCGCAGGCAGTCATGGTGTGTACGCCGATCAACGCGTGACGTCCTAAAATTGACTTAATTTTATCTTAGCATTTTGGTAATCACATTTAGTTTTTGTACACCCTAAGTGTTAATTAAATTTCAGCATCATGTCCCGAAAGTCTGCGGCACGCGTTGACTACCTCGTGCAGAAGCTGCAAACGTTTTCTTTCAAAGTGCAAAATTTAAATGACCTTTTAAATAGCTCTTTTGTCGACTCCGTCAATGCGGGCCTGCGGCTCGCAGACCTACAAAAAATACACCAGGATTGCGTCCGATATTGCGATGAATTGACACTCAATTAACCTAATCACCCTTGTTTTGATGAGTTTTTCTTGGCTGAAATGACGTATTACACGGTAGCTTCCAAAATCAAACAAATGAATCAACCTGATCTTAACAGTAGCATCACCAATACCACCATCATTGAGAGACATGAAGCCCCTAAGCTTCCAACGATCAGTGTCCCGCCTTTCCGTGGCAGCCATGAAGATTGGATGTCTTTCAAAAACTCTTTTACTGATTTAATTCATTCACGCACTGACATTAGTGATATGGTAAAACTTGCTCATCTGAAAGGATCACTGAGGGAAGAGGCACTGAGCAAGGTAGCAGTTTTTCACATTTCTGCAGAAAATTACACACAGGCATGGAAGGTTTTAAATGAGTTTTATGATTAGAAAAGGCTTTTATTAGAAAGACATATTGATGCCGTTATGAGTCTCCCCCCTGTTGGTAAGGCAACAGCAGCAGATTTATCCAAATTAATAGATGATGCTAAACAACACTTGAGTATTTTAGAGCAGCTAGGCGTTAACATCCATCATGAATTTATAGTGAGAAGTTTAGTTAAATGTCTCCCCATAACAACTCGTAGGAGATGGCAGGAAACCCTAGCTTTAGACAAGTTCCCGACGTTAGATGAATTTTATAAATTTGTAGAAACCAACATTTTTAACCTCAAAGCAATAGAGCAGGAGTTTTCAACACCATCAGCTAGCAATAGGAAGCGACCCTCTGACAATTCTCAACTCTCCCAGAAGGCCAAGCGAACTCCTATCGATTTTAATGCTCGCTCCTTAGTGACAAATGTTTCACCAAATTGTCTTAAATGCAACGAAGTTCATCGGCTTTATGTCTGCCCAGCATTTAATAAGCTTGCCCTTCAGGAGCGGTGGGATTTTGTAAAGAGTAACAAAATCTGCCGTAACTGTTTGCGCCCTCATCCACTACCTTGCAAAAACGAAAGTAGATGTAGAAAGTGTAACAGGGATCATCACACCATTCTACATGCAGACAAGAAATCAAATACAACATCTCAACAACAGACCAAAGGAACACCAAATACTCCTACTCCTGCGACCCAAAAAACTGAAAGGGAACAATCAATTACATCAAAAACATGACTAGACCAGTACTCATTAGCATCATCAGCACATTCACCACACACAGCTCATGCCGACAGCCATCTTACAGGTAAAAAATCTCAAGGGTGATTTCATCTCGGCACGAGCGTTGCTAGATTCTTGTTCTACTGTCAACTTCATCACTTCTAATTTAGCAGAGTCATTAAAGCTACCTGTTAAAGACTGTTCAGTCTCAATAGGAGCTGTTGATGACTTATGCACTATTCCCAAAAAATGCATTAAGCTTAAATTTCAATCCAATCACACCAAGTTTGGAAAAGAGTTAAAATTCCTTATTGTCCCAAAAATCACTAACCTCGTGCCAGATGAAATTTTCCCTCGTGAGTTATATCACATTCCAAAAAATATACAACTAGCAGATCCTAAATTTCACATACCTCAAGCAGTTGACATATTATCGTCCTCAGGCACTACCCTAGCAGTATTAGCTGTAGTTCAATTGAATATCACTCATAATACGACTAACATAATATTACAGAAAACTAGTTTAGGTTGGATCGTGGCAGGAGGCTCAGACAACATATCAACCTCAAGAAAGGCGTCTTGTAATGTAGTAAAATTAGATATCATGATAGAAAGATTCTGGATAGTCGAAGAGATAGACACCGAACCCTCAAAATCTCGCGATGAGATAGCTTGTGAAAAACATTTTGTCAATAATACTCGAAGAGACCCTACAGGTCGATACATCGTGCGGCTACCTTTTGGTTGCAATAAATTTGAGTTAGGAGAATCTCGTTCTCAAGCATTAAATCGTTTTTATTCACTTGAAAGAAAATTTAAGGTAAATCCCAATTTTAAAGTAGAGTATGAAAAGGTGATGCAGGAATATATCGACCTTAATCATATGTCACTAGCTAACGACACTGTAAGAGGTTATTATCTTCCTCATCATGCCATAATAAAACCATCTAGCGAGACCACCAAGCTTAGAGTAGTTTTTGATGCTTCGGCAAAGACTTCCACAGGAATTTCACTTAATGAAGTTTTACTAGTAGGTCCCACCATCCAGGACAAAATATTTGAACAAGTAATTAAATTCCGAGCTCACAAATACGTCATTACAGCCGACATAGCCCGAATGTATAGGCAGATTATCGTACATCCCGATGATTGAAAATATCAGCGTGTACTATGGTACCATAACCACCAAATCAGAACCTATGAACTTAATACCGTAACATTTGGCGTTTCATCAGCCCCATTTTTAGCCATACGCACGATTCAGCAGCTCGCCAACGACGAAGCATCAAATTCACCACGAGTTAGTAAAATACTCCTCAGAGATTTGTATGTGGATGATCTCATTACTGGAGCTGACACTCTCGGTGAGATTATTCAGATACGTGATGAAGTGATTGAGCTGTTGAGTCGAGGCGGATTTACGATACGACAATGGGCCTCTAATCACGAAGCTGCTCTTAACAACATTGATAAGGAATTCTTTGATTTAGACTGTTTGATAAAGGAAAATCCTGTTCAAAAAACGCTGGGAATCATTTGGAATTCTCAACATGACAAACTTCAATACAAGGTTCAAGTAATTGATCCTAAAGACACTTGCACTAAACGTAAACTCATATCTGAAATTTCTAAAATTTTTGACCCGCTTGGTTTGGTAGGCCCAGTGTCGTTATGTGCCAGAGTTTTAATTCAAGATTGCTGGAAATCTAAAATCACATGGGATGAGTCCCTGCCCCAGGAAATTCATACCAGATGGGCCACTGTTGCAGAACAGCTACATCTGCTAGAAAAACTTTCGATTGATCGTCACATCTTGATTCACAATTTTGCACGAGTCGAGATACACGGGTTTTGCGATGCAAGCATACGTGGGTATGAAGCATGTATTTATTTCAGGTCCATAGATGTAAAGGGCAAAGTGTTGGTAAGACTTGCATGTGCAAAATCACGCGTCGCTCCTCTCAAAAATATGACTATTCCTCGATTGGAATTATCTGCCGCATCCTTACTCAAAAAACTATACGTTACTATGCGATCTCAATTCGAGCTTCATGTCGATCGGGTAGTGCTGTGGTCCGACTCTACCATCGCACTGCATTGGATTAGCAAGGTTATTAAGAACTTTTGAATCAAACAGGGTTGCGGATATTCAAACTCTCGGAGCTGAGGTCCAGTGGAGACATGTTCGAACAGATGACAATCCAGCAGACGCGTTATCCAGGGGTCAACTCCCTGCAGATTTTCTCTTAAAAAACACTTGGTTTTCAGGTCCGAGTTGGTTGTCCCAAGCAGAGAACACCTGGCCACCCAGTGTGGAGATATCAAGTCGAGATGACTCTGGGTTCAAACAACGATTCTGCCTTCTAACCACAAACTCAGTGTCTGAGATCTATTCTCGTTTTTCATCATACCAGATTCTTATTAAAACTATAGCTTTAATTTTTAGATGGCGCACAAAACTTAACAAAGGATTACCAATCACCGTTGAAGAAGCACGAGAAGCAGAGCTGAAATTACTGCGTAGTATACAACACGAAAAATTCCCTGTTGAGGTAAAACGTCTGTCGACCGCTCACGACACAGAGTCCGGGCAAATTTCTGTTCCTTATCGAAAAACTACTACATTCGACAATTTACATCCATTCATAGATAACGATGGACTCTTGCGCGTGGGTGGTCGATTGAAAAATGCACAACTTGCTTACAACCAAAAACATCCAGTTTTGCTGCCAAGCAAACATCACGTAACCGATTTAATTATTCGACTATACCATCAATCTAATTTACACGGAATAATACAATCCACTCTTTACTCAATCAGAGAACGCTTTTGGATAATTAATGGTAGAGATCAAGTTAGAAAAATTATCAGACACTGTGTGGATTGTATTCGTACCAAACCTAAACCCTTACAAGCCCAAATGGCTGATTTACCCGCAGCTCGCGTAATCGAAGCCCCCGCATTTAGTCACGTTGGTGTGGACTTCTTTGGACCTCTTTATATTAAGGAAAAACAGTTTAGAAGTAGAACAACCCTTAAGGTGTATGGATGCGTTTTTGTATGCATGATGTCCAAAGCGGTTCACATTGAACTAGCACATGATCTCTCTACGGAAGGTTTTTTAGCCGCTTTTCGTAGGTTTATTAGTCGTAGGGGAATACCCGAGCACGTATATTCAGATAATGGGACAAATTTTGTAGGAGCCAATAATGAATTGAGAGAAATTTATGACTTATTTAAAACACCCGAATATGAAAACCAAATCAAAAATTACGCACTTTCTAATCGCATAACTTGAAATTTCAACCCGCCTTTATCACCTCACTTTGGCGGTCTTTGGGAAGCCGCAGTAAAGAGTTTCAAACACCATTTAAAACGCATTCTGAAAAATCATACTCTCACATACGAACAAATGCAAACTTAACTCATTGAGATTGAGGCTATTCTAAATTCAAGACCAATATGCACTCTTTCTGCGGATCCCAATGACCCTCTAGCATTAACACCTGCTCACATACTTATAGGAAAGTCTTTCAAAACATTACCCGAGAAAAATCTTGTTTCAGTTCCTGATAATCGTCTATCCACCTGGAACTTCATAACTAAGGCTCGACAGGACTTTTGGAATCGTTGGCATACTGACTATCTCAATGAGTTCAATATCCGTCAAAAATGGCATGAATCTACTGGCGAAATCAAACCTGGTGCGGTCGTTATTCTCATCGAAAAGACAATTCCACACGGGCGGTGGCCGCTGGGTGTGGTTCTTGAGGTGTGTCCTGGGAACGACGGCATCGCGCGAGTAGCTCAAGTCAAAACCACGACGGGCGTTTATAAACGAAATATTACTAGTTTATGTTTATTACCGATTTCCTAAATTTAACTTGCATTTTACGTATTAGATAAGGTTTGTGAAGCGAATTAGTTCCATTAATCTCAATTTGTTTCAATCAATAATTCTAACTTAGTCGTTGTTTCATTTACTGTTCATTTTTCAATTTAATCACTGGTTCTAGTCACTCCAAAGAAAACTCGACCGATTGTCAAGATTAGTCATATACTTACTGAGATTGATTGTAATTTGTAGATTTAGTACAAATTAACTTGTAAATGCGTTCTAGTTGATTGAACTAGTCAATATTCTTATAATTCATCCCTATTCATTTATTTTATTTATGTTTTGCTCAAAGCTTAATGCTGATCTCAATAACTCTAAATCAAAGACTTTAAATAGATTAGATTAGAGCGCTTTAAAATTAGCCTGTTTAGTTATTCATTGGTCTTGTGTTTTAAATCAAACAATTCAAATAAATCAAAGATACTTCGAGCGAGAGACTAAGTTTATTTATGTCAAATTGTTAACTCACATTCATTACCATTCAATGTAAAGCTAATGCAAATTCAAATATGTTAATAGTAACATTCTGCTCATATTAAGTTATATTTAACGTCATTTCGCAGCTCTCGCCCGGAGTATGTACAGTCGTACATGCCTTCATAAGGCTGACGACGCGATGACCCGTCATTGCCTCGTCAGCTTACAAGCATATATACATATTCGCGGCGTGCGCCGCCGCCATCTTAAGTCGTTACACTCGCGTGCCTGCGTGCATGACTGAGCTAGTCTGTTGAGACACCTCAATGCGCGCGGAGCTCCGTTGCCTCAAATCTAAATCATACTCAATTCGCCCTGACACGGCAATACCTAAATCGTATTCAATTCGCCCTGACACGGCAGTAACACACTCAATTCGCCCTGACACGGCAATAATATCTCTCTGGGCCTTTACCGGCGTTTCTCGCGAGTGCACTCGTCGACATAGTGTTAGTGTAGTCAATTTGTTGTGTATCCGATAGCGTATTAAACCCGAACAGCTGTAACTCGCGGCTCTCGTGCGTGCGTGCGTATTTTAATTCGTAGTCGAGTCAAGTGCACGTAAATTTAGTTGTGTTCTTCAATAAAAGGGGTTTTTTTTTACCGCAAGGTTTTTTCCCCTCAAAAAAACGCAGTGTCTTTATTTGTTTTCCCTTTCCTTATTTTTCAACAAAGCGAGCGAGTCACCTGCGACTCTCTCGCCACGAAACACTAAGATATAGACAATACTGATAAATCGCTGAAAATTTGAATTCTGTACAGTGAGGTAGAAACCGACAAATTATAAAGAAAATAAACATGTTTACAAATTTCGTCGTACAATGAATCTACAGTTTTCAAATATTAGCATTGTGAGTTTTAATTGCAAGTATCTAGGAAATGTTTGCCAGTATGAGGTATTTTCACTTCTGAGATCATGCAAAATGGCGAGGGCTGAGGACAAAGTTTGAATTCACACAATAAGTTTAATTGAGACTATACAACTTATTGAGATATTCTAGTTACTCGATTTGATTACAAAAACTTTTCCTTTTCATGAGCTATCGAATAGGTATCAGATATACGGTATTTTTTGTTTATAAATAAGTGAAATCGATCAATAAAGTTATCGAGGGCAAAAAGTAAAGCCAGAAAACATTTTTTTTTAAACCCTTTACAAGCATCTGATCGCACCTTTTTTGCACTTTATTTTTTAACAATTAATTTTTTTGTTATTAACAAAAAAACCACTTTTTGCGGTTCGTAATTTCGTAAATTTGCAAGATAGAACTTTGGAATGAAATGCATACGATTATACCTATTTTTTAATTAATTTACATAATTAAAAATCCATTCCATGCCCAATAAAAGCCGGACTACGATACTTTAACGTTTTTAGTTGTTGAGCCTAACCTACTGCGCTTAGACGATTGAAACTTGGATATTTAATTGTACAAGGGCCAAGATACACGACAAAAATAATAAGACATCAATTGCCAAAATGTTTATTTAGAAATTGTTATAGGCAATTTGTAAGACGGCCTAAGTAATCAGTCGCTCTGCTGCGTCGATAAAATCTGACATCGCACTCGTTGTGTACTGACATCGAGATTATATTTGGCCTACTTGGGCGTCGCTGAAATGCTCAATTGCAATGTAAAAGTGTCATATCTTGGCTTCAAATGGGCCTGCAATGGATTTTTTTTCGTAAAATAATTTAAAAATAGGTGTAATCGTACGCATTTCATTCCAAAACTCTATCTTGCCAATTGACGAAATTACAAACCACAAAAAGTAGTTCTTTGTTAATAACAATGAAAATTGGCTTAATAGTAGATAGTGTTATCACCTACCGATTTCATTTGGTTTTATCAAGATTCGCTTTCTGTGACAGAATTGACAGCGTTTGAAACTTTTAAATTTACAATTTTGCAGTACAAGGTCGCCATATAGCTTTTGAAAAAGCAGATCTGGTGCATTTTGTTAACAATACTAATACCTCCAAATATCAACAACAAAAACCGATTTCTTCTCTCATTTTTTCATATCTGTTTGTTTTTCGCTTTTTACAACTTTCCCGCATGTTTTTGGTAAGAATAAACAATTTTCAGCTCTTGAAAAAAATTTAACATGACGTCTAATCATCAGTTCAACAGCTTTTGTATTCAACTTTTTTCGATAAAATAATTCATTTCCGAAATATTGTGAGATAACTGAGAAAATATCAGTTTTCAAAGTTATTTTGCAATAAAAAAGGATCTTCCTGACCAGGTTCATTCTAACCTTTTAAATGGATCTTTATTCGGACAATAATCTATAGTTTTTGCGAAATTTCGTCCAATTCTATCCATCAACGGAAAATCATGTTTTTTGTTGAACCTCTGGCTCCCCGACTACTATGAAAATTTGGAGGAGCAATACATGTTTCTGCCCCAAATCTTCCCGTCCACTTGTTGATAAGCTTTACGTAAATTCACCTACTATCATTTTCCATTGTTTTTCCATATACCGTGTTGATAAATAATTCGTACATCTTCTCTAAGTCATTTTTTACATTTTGATATTTTTGACTGCTTAGGTCTACGTATGTTTTAACCAGGATCTTGGATTAAACTGTATGGCTATAGATTTTTGTTATGCGGAGACTATAACTCACAGCTTGCCTAAGTGCTCGATATTACATATCGTTTTTTGGCGTACAGAGTAATCAATAATTTTTATTGTTTGCATCCTGGTGGTGTCATGTGCTCAACACAGAATGGCAAATCTTTATGAGCGTTATGGAGAGTTTCGGGGTACCTAAGCAAGATCTACTTTGAGTATATACCCGATTGTAGCATCACCTTCTACATTCAAAATACTTGTTGGGTTAATACTTTCAATCCATTTAAAACCAACGTAAGGCAATAATTGGATAATAGCCTAGCTCCTTCCATGTATGCGTTATTTGCATAGCATAGCGATTACAACATTGGCTGATGCCACCACGTATGCCGTGCTTAATAAACATAA